GGGGGGCTATGTCTTTTGGTGTATTTAAATTTTCGGTGTAACTAGATGAAAGTAACGAGCTATGTCTCCAGGTATAAGTAGATGAAAGTAACGAGCTGTCTCCAGTATAACTAGATGAAAGTAACGAGCTATGTCTCCAGATATAACTAGATGAAAGTAACGAGCTATGTCTTCTGATATAACTAGATGAAAGTAACGAGCTATGTCTCCATGTATAACTAGATGAAAGTGATGAGCTATGCCTTTTGGCATAAATAGATGAAAGTGGATGGCTACAGTGAAAATAGCGGATACCTTGGCCTGTATAATGAAAATGAAAATTGAGCATAGTCCATATCCATTTCATATGTTTAACTTTCAATTTGACTATTTTGAATAAACTTCAGTTAAACTGTTAAAGTTATGATAAAATTTTGGGATGCTGCCATCATTGATTCGTCTAATTTACTGCGGTGAATCCAAATACTAAGGGCTGTGTTGTGTGAAAACTGTACTTAATGATTAGTCAAGATTCCAATGCTATCAGTTTAAAACATTGCTTCCTATTGAGGACACATGTGGTCTGCATGCACTTCTATCTAAGTGTTCAAAATTGTGTTGATGGAATACATTTGACTGCCTGTCAAAGTGATACGTCTCATTCTGAAAGTAGTACAGCAACTTTGCACCTTAAAAATGAAGTCTTAATCTAGATTTACATTTTTGTGTGTCCTTTTTATCCTTTTCTATCTCATGTATTCTTTCCATTGAAAATTCTTAATTATTATATTATGCTCGCTGCTCTCTGGCATGATTTTCAAAAAGTTATTTTCATTTCTTTCAGTATTCACTTTTATAACACTTCTTGTAAGCTTATGGGAAAAAGTTTTCATTTTTCAAGAATATTTGTATTTGCCATAGATTCATCTATTTCTGTGGATGGTTGGTGGGTGCTCTGGTGTGGTTTGCTCCTTCTTTCCTATCAAACATCTATTGTTCTGATCTCTCCTCCTTCTCTTTTGTGTTTGTTACTCTCTTGTAAACCCTCTAGTCTTCGGCACTTATATGACCTTATTGTGTTGCAAGTGCCGTAAAACTCTTACTAAAACTAATCATCTGTTTCTCTGCAGACCTGAACTGATAGACAAGCTTTTTGTGTATGGCTTGGGCCCCAGAGGCTGCATAGGTTATGACCTGAGTCGGCTGATAATACAGGTGGGTTGGGAGTGACATGTCAGAGATTATTTCGACTGCTCAGTGTAAGACTCTGCCAAAAGTAATGGATGATATGCCATCGGTTCTCATGAGGTTCTCAATTTCAAGAACCTATCACCTCCCCTGCCTCCAACAGTGTATTTTTTTCTTGTTTGTGTTCACTTTCAAAGTCACTGTGTTCTATTTAGACTTCAGGTGGTTGGAGGGGGCAATTTGTATGTTCTACTTCTTTCACTGTGTTACGTGTGTCCGTCTGGCTTTTTCCTAGCACTTAATGACTATATATGATCATTATTGTGTCAATGTGCCTTTCTTTTCTCACACTAAGAGAACAAAAGATTTAAAGCTGTCCTACTGTCTGTGAGAGATTACGTATGGTCAACACAAAAGAATGGATAAATCTCTAGAGACCAACTGAAATTTCAATTTGCAATTGGTCAATTTGAAGATTGTGCAGTCACTGAAATGTCACTACTTGTGTTTTTACCTTTTGACAATGCATAGTAGTAAAGTGAATCACAGCAGAATTTACTCTAACTTTTTTTTTCTTTTTCAGAAATCTCTTACTGAGCTGCTGTCCAGGTTCACGTGGCAGATTTGTGAAGACCAGGTCTTCACTCACAAGCACATTCCGGTGTCAAGACCCAAGTGTAATCTTTTGGTTACTGTAACTCCTGTTTAAAGTATGTCTTGTTTTTGTTGCCCCAATATAATGTGTCATGACTTCATGTGGAAATTATGAGTTGTGATTGTGAAAGGGTCTATATAATTTCCTCACTGAAATGAAAAAGGTGGTATGTGACTACAAAAGGATATTATATCCCCTGACCAAAAGTCCTGAAGGTGATGTTTGACTTGAATAGGAATTATATTGAAATCTAAATGGCTTGATCTGATTGTAGAAGGATTTTTAGTAGGTCTATGTATCCTAACTAGAAATCAAAAGGTTGACGTATGAATAAAAAGGATTTATATTATACACCCTGGCTGAACTAAAAACGCCTATCTGTTCGTGTAAGTGAAATGAGGTTTGTATTTGACAAAGTAGGAAGAAATACTTGTAATTGAAATAAGAGCCATGATAGGACTCGGAGTAGTAACATTGGTAACAAAGGTGCTGCATGATAACCTCATCATGTACTGAATATTTGTTGCAATACAGTGATGTCATATTTATGTTTTTGGGTTTATAAATGTGATAGCAACTAGGTTGTATTCGCTGAGTGCAAGTTGTGGAAAAAGTTTGGTGTGCTTGAGTTATGTGTATACAGCTGCTATTTACCTGCTATTTTTTACAAATATTTTTTCGTTTATTCTGTAATTACAGTAATTCTATAGAGAATATACTTCTGAAGGAAATGAAGGTGTGAACTCTTCCGTAATGTGCCTTTTTATTTGTAACTCATGTTTTTCTCAACTTTTCATGGGAAATGTTTCCACCAGAAATGTTAATATTCGAAGTTTTATTATTTTGTATGATAAATATTACAAAAGATCTGACCAGTTACAATGTATGATTTTTTTAAACAAATTTTTTTCATTGTTTATTCATTACTCTAAGGCCCAAGCCCCAATGTGTGTATGTCTGTCAGGTGACATTGTGCTCATCTGCTGTGCTTGTTATGTTACATCAGGCTCAATGTTTTCATTTCTTTTGCTCTGGGATAACATTTGTTGATCTCAAAATAATCACTTGTGATATATATCTAGGAATAAAAATTCACGTCGAAGGTCTGAATTAAAAAAAAAAATTTGCTTCCTTGTTCGTCAATTCGAGATGCCAAACTGAATATGCTGTGGTCTGTCAGAATGTCTCCTCCAAGCTGCTGTAAAGTTTTTCTCTTTGTGGCTGTGGAGGAGGAGGGATTTTTATACAATTTCCTTAGTTAATTATGACCTAGCCTTTTTGAAAAAAAAATTAAGTAAGAAAGGAAGGAGGAAGTAATTCTAAGGGGGGGGGGGGGGTCAAATAAAAAAAAGAAAGAACAAAAGAAAGAAAGAACAAAAGGAAAAGTAAACAGTGAAGAAGTCTCAGGGAAGGTGTGAAGGGAGAAAACAGAGAGCAAAGAAAAGAAAACCGATTTGCAAATTTTGGGCACTCTGGCTCACTTCTTTGTAAATGTATTGCTATGATGCTGTTCTTTGGCTATGTCAGGCACCATTGCTAGTCAAAAATATCATATAAACACATTGCAGATGTACTTCGATTTTCATTTTGTCACACTTTTCCTTGGAGTGTGGCTATCTATGTACTTACTTACTTGGTTGGAGAATATAGGCATACCCCCGGGGCAGTGCCACTGACTGTAGTGTCTTTAGGCCATTCCCAAAGGGGGGGGGGGGGCATTTCTTGTTCAAGTACAGTAGAATTGTAAATGGGCTGATTCATGTCACGCTTATAACTGTGCCTGATCTACAACAGGGAACTGCTGCTTTTTCTTTCTTAATCTTTACTATTGTCATTTTCCTCTACTTCTTTTGTATGTTTGTCACTCTCTTGTGACCTGCTATTTCAGGGGTGCCTTGATAGTCGAAGCAGACCTTGTGCTGTTGAAGCTAGAAAGATGAGCAGAATAAGTATGATTCCCTGTAAAGACTTCTCTGTTGACACCCACCCCTTGGCGCTCATATGACCTTATGCAGTTGCGAGCACCGTAAAACCTTCTACTATTAAAAAAAGGGCATCATTGCAGGCGGCACAATGCCATAGCTGCTCCTCTCTCCTCTCCAGGATCCATCAAAAGGCCTGCCTGCTGATCGGGCCAGTTAACAGCTGGTTGGATATTCTTCTGGCTTTTCCACGCAGGTTGCTGTCTCTCCCCGACCCTCTAGAGACACCAGCTTCCCTTAGCCTATCCATTGTGTGTGAAGTTGTGCCTTCGTCCTCTCTGTGATCGTTGAACCATGCTGTCAATGCTGCCATGACTGTTGGTGGATCTATTTTAGATATGAACAATACTAGGAACAAATCCCTATCATAAAAATTTGCAGTCTTACAATATGCACTGTGTGGCCAGCTTGTGGTGACATAGAAGAACAATTTATTGTGGCATGATTAGTGACGATGAAAGAAGCACAGAGTCAAATCTGGTGCCAGAGACAGAGAGACTGTACTTTTAAACATTCTTCAAGAATCTTTCACATTCCATTTTATTGCTTTCAAATGATATCTCTTGCTTTATTGCACTTAAGGCACAGCTCCCAAAATGCCTCAAATGTCACTTTTAAGTAGGATTTATTATTTTCAAGGTACACGCTGACATTTGTTTCCTTTATTTTGGTCTGTATTTTGTTTCTTCCTGAATCCATGTGTTCCTTTTCTATTTCTTATATATACGTATATATATGAATGTGATCAACTGGTGCTTTGTTGTTGATTCAAGATTTGTTTGTTACTTTTTCTTCCTTGCCAACCTATAGGTTTTGGGTTAAGATTGTTTACCTCATTTTTTGGTTATGTTTCAATTTTATGTTATTGTTCACCGGTAAAATATATGCAATTTTAATTTATTGAGACATTTTATGTTGCCATAATATATACATATGGACTAGGCTAGTTTGTATTTTTCTTCCTACTTTTGTTTTGTGAAATGTTTCAAGTGCATACATATCTCTTTTATTATGCAGATTTAGTTTGAGTCACAGTTGCTGGTTCCATCATCACCATCTTGACTGCAGCGTTGATCTATTAGATGATATTTTTGTATTAGATTTTACTTTCATCAGCCAGCTGTTCAGATGTACTGTGAGTACTGTGCCAAACATTTGGAAATTTTTAAAAATTGCAGTTTCTTAATTAGTTATATCCCTTGCTAATGCTCAAGAAGTATTTAGTTGAAATTCAAATTCAAAATGTTGAAAAAGAAAAAGAAAAGATAAATAATGTAGGAACAATTTTCTTAATTAAAAAATAACAAATTAAACAGTTTTTTCTCACACCTGAAAAATATTGCGTTCATCACTAAGAACAGATAAAAAGTTAGCCTATGCTTTTATGTTTTCTGTTAATGTTTTTTCCATACCCCTGCTTTTGTCAACAGGATTTATTGTTAAAGAGCATTCTGAGACTGTTGCTTTTACCATTTATAGGGAGTGTCTTTTCTATTACCCCTTTCAGGGCGTGCTCTTCACATATTTTCAGAATGTTTATTTGCATTTGATTAGAATCTCAGCATCTTTTTATTCTGTGCTCGTGGGTGGTTGGCAGGTGTTCTGGTGTGGTTTGCTCCTTTTTTCATGTTAAATATCTATCATCCTTATCTCTCCTCCTTTTTTGTGTATGTTACTCTCTTACAACACCTCTAATCTTCGGCACTTCTATGACTTAATAGTGTTACAAGTGCCGTAAAACTCTTACTTCAGCTAAAGCAATTCTGTGGTCTCTACTTTTTGTTTGTTGCTTTTTGGTTCCAATTTTGTTTTTGTTTTTTTGTTTAGATTTCAATTGAACAGAATGTAACCAAATAGATCTAGTTTTTCTGCCTGTATCTCATGAACAAAGCAGCATAAGTGTTATGTATATTATGTTTACACTGATTTTTATTTCTCTAGTTTATCTTGTAAAGAGTCCTTCAATTCAATTGTTATTGTTGTGACAGAAGAGATTTCTGAGTTACTCAGGTTCTTCTTTATATTATTTAGGCATCACTTTATCATTGTAAATTGTAGACTTTGTGTGGATGATGTGGGGGGGGGGGGGGGGGCACTTAGGCAATAGTAATAGATCTTTCTTCTTTTTCTTCCCTTCATTGTTTCTGTCTGGTGATTTCACTCTTTCCCAGCTCTTCATGCCCATTATTGTGTCAATGTGTTTCTCAGTACTTACTTAAATAAATAAACAAACAGACCAGGCTGGTGAGTATTTGTAGGCCTTTTGATGAATAGACATCACTTTTTTCATATTAACAAAACCACCAAAGATTTTTTCCTGCAAGATGGATCACTTCTCTAATTGAGATGCTGGAGAAAAAATAATCCTGAAAAGTGCCCATAGCGACATACGCGACTTTTAGGGGCTAATGTGTCTTGTGCAAAGAGCATTAGGAAAAGTTGTTTTAGCAGAATGTCTATTTGAGAAACAAAACAAAACACTTATTTCTGCATTGATGGTGAGGACGAAATTATTGCTTATAGCTGGGCGAGACCTTTTTTTTGTTTAGACGGAGAGTTGACCGTCTTGTAGTGTACAATCTTTTACTTGATAAAGTAATTTGCACTCCACCTTATTGTGACTCTGATGTTATGGTTAGATTCTTTTCTGTGGCATGTTAAAGACATAATTTCAATTCCTGTGTGGGTCGGGGATGTCTGTTTTATTATTTCCCTCTTTGTTCCCCACTCAGATTGGGCTAGCCATGACAGGTAGGGCCGAAGCAGCCTGCTTCCTCACTGATTTAATTTGTGTTGATTGGAGCTTAAAATATTTACACTTATCCCACCCTTCAGTTTGAGCCATGGCAGTTTGTGAAGATATTATGAACACTTTAACAATTTACGAATAGGATGTTTACCTTTTCTTTATGTTTACTGCCTTAAAGCTGGAAAAATTGTACTTAACAAGCCTAGGTTAAGTGCTTCCCAGCTAAGTAGGGCACCAAAAGACATTTCAACTTAATTTGTAGCAATGTTTAATTCTTTTCTGTGGTGCCATAGATCTGATCTGATCATTGTGAAATATGTGGCAATTATTACTTACCATGAACTTCAACTCAAGAGCTCTTGGCTCGCTAAGGACATCACTTAGTTAAGAATTTATTTTTCTTCCTTTGTTGAAGAACATCTGGAATATTCATACTAATATGGTTTTTAATTAGATGCGTTAACGCTGGTGTTCTTTCATGAGATGAAGGGAAAAAAAACAAATAAACAATCATATTGAAAAGGGTTTAGTTGAATAGGTTTATACGTTGATCAGTTATTATATATGTATGTGTAACCTTGCATTGTTTGTGGGATTGCACAACGGGTCGACATTATGTAGAACGACTAAAGTAATACTCAGATTTATCTAGGTGCATTGTGTCTGTTTGTATTGTAGCCGTAAATTCATTTTTGTTGATTTCTGTTCTTGTTTATGTTTTATATATACTGATAGATGGTGTTAATGCAACTGAAAATGGAAAGCTAAAGCAAGGTTTATTTTTTAGTTTATTAAGTATCCACATTTCTCCCTGATGGGTTTTCGTCTCATTACCTGAATTTCCGAAGATCATAAGAAGAATTCCCTTTTTATATTTGTACTAATTTATAATTCAAGTTCCTATATATACTTATACTGATATATGCATAGCACATGTAATGTATACATTTCCTAATAATGGTTAATACACATGTGTTTTATTTTGCCTCTTAATACTTTGCAGTCACACAGCCTGCAGTATAAAATACCCCATCCGGTCACCCAGCCAGGAGAGTGACTGGCTTGGGCCTGTCGCAGAACTGTGCCAGGTGACGGGAACGGATAATTTTCACCGGCGCATTATGCAAAGTGTTAAAAAACTTTGCATTCATTTGTTAGGATTGACAATCCTGTACTTATGATTCATGTACACATATTTTACCGTTTCATGATGTGGGTCTTTGATTATTTTTGCCTTTTTTAATTTGCATCCATTGTTATTTAGAATGAAAAAAATTTCTGGGTGTGCAGAGCGCTTTTTAGCTCAATTTATTGACCTTTTATATTTATTAATTTTTCATACCGATGTACTGAGTTCCGATGAAGGGATTATGCTCTTGAAATAAAGATTCACCACTAGAATCATGCTTGTGAATTGTGTGTTTGAATTTCTTGGGAAAGTGACGGTGAGCTGTGCCTCTGGTTCTTTATAAAATTGACCGCTAGATGAAGTAATCTGTGTTAATGTGGACACCAAAATGCTCCCTTCTTTTATAGATGAATGTAATGGAGAATGTGCAAAATGTCTGAAGTTTGCTCACAAAGTTTGTCTTTTTAAAATTTACAA